ATTGATTCCTTGATTTATTTTTCTGCTGCTTCGTTATTGGTATATAGAAATGCAACAGGTTTCTGGACATTGATTTTACATCTTGCAACTTTGCCGAATTTGTTTGCGAATTCTAGCAATTTTTTGGTGGAGTTTTTCAGGTTTTCTGCATAGAGTATTATGTCATCTGCAGACAGAGAAAGTTTTACTTCTTCCTTGTCAGTTTGGATGCCTTTCATTTCTTTTTGTTGTCTGATTGCTGAGGCTAAGATGTTCAGTACTATGTTGAATAGTAATGGTGAGAGTGGACATCCTTGTCTTGTTCCTGACCACATGGGAAAGTTGACAGTTTTTCTCCCATTGAGGATGATACTAGCTGTGGATCTTCCCATATATGGCCTTCATGATGTTGACATATGTTCCATCTATCCCTACTTTCTTAAGGGTTTTTATCAGGAAAGGATTCTGTATTTGGATCAGATGCTTTTTCTGCATCTACTGATGATCATATTGTTCTTACTTTTTCTTTTATTAATGTGGTCTATCGTGTTGATTGATTTGCACGAATTGAACCATTCCTGCAGCCCAGGAATAAATCCCACTTGATCATGATGAATAATTGTTTTACTGTACTGTTGAATTTGATTTGCTAGTATTTTACTGAGAATTTTTGCATCTATGTTCTTCAGGGATACTGGCTGGTAATTTTCCTTTTTTGTGGGGTCTTTGTCTGGTTGAGCCACCCAAGTACCTCTCTTCTGCTGGCTTTAGGCTTTATTTGCTATTCCTTTTCTAGCTTCTTTAGGTGTAAGATTAAGTTAGGTATTTGAGATTTTTCTTGCTTCTTGAGGTGCGTCTGTATTGCAGTATACTTCCCTCAAGGACCGCCTTTGCTGCATCCCAAAGGTTTTGGTGTGTTGTTTTCATTTTCATTCACTTCCATGTGTTTTTTAATTTCTTCTTTAATTTCCTGGTTAACCCATTCATTCTTTTCTTTTTTTTTAGATTTTATTTATTTATTTGTCAGAGAGAGAGCAAGCACAAGTGGGGAGGAGCGGCAGGCAGAGGGAGAAGCAGGCTCCCTGCCAAGCAAGGAGCTCGATGTGGGACTTGATCCCAGGACCCTGGGATTATGACCTGAGCTGAAAGCAGACACTTAACTGACTAAGCCACCAGGCATCCCCCATTCATTCTTTAACCTCCATGTACTTCTGGTCTTTGCAAATTTTTTCTTATGATTGATTTCAAGTTTCGTAGCGTTGCAGTCAGAAAATATGCATGGTATGATCTCAGTCTTTTTGTACTTGTTGAGGGCTGATTTGTCTCTAGTATGTGATCTATTCTGGAGAATGTCCCATGTGCACTTGCAAAGAATGTGTATTCTGCTGCTTTACGATGAAATGCTCTCAATATATCTGTTAAGTCCATCTGGTCCAGTGTGACATTCAAAGCCATTGTTTGCTTGTTGAATTTCTGCATAGATGACCTTCTGCATTGCTGTAAGTGGGGTCTTAAAGTTCCCTACTAGTATTGTATTATTATCGCTGAGTTTCTTTATGTTTGTTATTAATTGTTTTATATATTTGGGTGCTCCCATTGTTGGGGGCATAAATATTCACAATTGTTAGATCTTCTTGTTGGATAGATCGCTTAATTATGATAAAATGCCCTTCTTCAACTCTTATTATAGTCTTTGTTTAAAATCTAGTTTGCCAGGGTGCCTGGATGGCTCAGTCAGTTAAGCAGCTGCCTTCCACTCAGGTCATGACCCAGAACCCTGGAATTGAGCCTTGTTTTGAGCTCCCTGCTCAGCGGGGAGTTGGCTTCTCCCTCTGCCTCTCCTCCTTGCTCATTTTTTCTCTCTCTCTCTCAATTAAATAAATAAAATCTTTTTTAAAAAGTCTAGTTTGATATAAGTATGGTTGCTCTGGCTTTTTTTTTTTTTATGACGTCCATTAGCTTGATAAATCATTCTCCATCCCTCACTTTCAATCTGCAGGTGTCTTTGATCTAAAACGAGTCTCTTGTAGGCAACATATAGATGGGTCTTGTTTTTTTATCTGTCCTAATACCCTATGCCTTTTCATTATAGAGCATTTAGTCCATTTACATTCAGAGTGATTAGTAAAAGGTATCAATTTAGTGCCATTTTATTATCTGTAGAGTTGGTGTTTCTGGTGATGTTCTCTGGTCCTTTCTAGTCTTTGTTGCTTTTGGTCCTTTTTTCTCCAAGCAGAGTCCCCCTTAAAATTTCTTGTAGGGGTTTAGTGGTCACAAGCTACTTTAGTTTCTGTTTGTCTGGATATTCTTTATCTCTCCTGCTCTGAATGACCATCTTATTGGATAAAGAATTCTTGGCTGCATATTTTTTTTCTGTTCAGCATGTTGAATATATCCTTGCACTCCTTTTTGTCCTGCCATGTTTTGGTGGCAGAACACCACAGAACCTAGCTTAGGTTCTGTCTTCCCTTGTAGCTTAAGGACCCCTTTTCCCTTACTGCTTTCAGGATTCTTTCCTTGTCTGTGCATTTTGTGAATTTGGCTATGATATGCCTTGGTGATTGTCGGTTTTTGTTGAATTGAATGGGAGTTCTCTGTGCTTCTTGAATTTCGATATCTGTGTCCTTCCTCAGATTAGGGAGGTTTTCAGCTATAATTTGTCTGAATAAATCTTCTGCCCCTTTTTTTCCTCCGTCTTCATCTTCTGGGATTCCTATGATATGAATGTTACAGTGTTTTAATAAGTCGCTGAGTTCCCTAAATCTACCTCCATGGTCCATCACCTTTCTTTCCCTCTTTTTTTCAACTCATTATTTCCCTTAATTTTGTCTACTGTATCACTGATTCAGTCCTCTGATTCATCCATCCTCCTTTTTATGGCCTCTATCTGGGATTGCATCTCAGTTACAACATTTTAAATTTCGGTCTAACAGATTTTAGTTCTATTATCTCTGGAGTAAGGGATTCTCTAGGATCTAGTATGCCTTTTTCAAGCCCAGCTAGTATCCTTTTAATTGTTGTTTTAAATTCTAGTTCAGACATCTTACTTATATCTGTATTGATTAAATCCCTGTTCATGAGTTCTACCTCCTGTTCTTTCTTTTGGGGTGAATTTCTCCAGCTCGTCATTCTGTCCAGAAAGGAAAAGAAGAGAGAAAAAGAAAGAAAACAACAACAACAAAACAAATAAAAAACTAGATCCTGGGTGTTTCTTGGTCTGCTTATTAAAAGAATCTAGATCCCAAAATAAGAAAGAAAAAAAAAAATACAATGAAAGCAAACAAAAAAATAATATATATGTAGTATATATGAAAACAAAAATTTTAAAAATTAATAAATTTTTAAAAATAATTGAAAAAATAAAATAAATGAAAAATTTTTAAAAAATAAAGAATAAAAGTACAAAGGAGTCTAGACACTATTTTCCCTTAGAGCTGAAGCTTTGCAGCCCTCTATGATCAATAGACTTTGTGTGAGTGAGTTGTTTGTGCAGGTCTTCTGGGGGAGGGGCCTGTTGCACTGATTCTCAGGTGGACTTGCCTTAGTGCAAATGGGCCTCCAGATTGCAAATGGGAGGCGGGGGTTGGTGTAAGGGGCTCTGGACTCCACTAGGTGGTGCTCTTTTGCTCCCTGAAGCCTTTCAGTGATGATGCACAGGGTGACTATGACAGCCCCCCACCTTCTAGTCCTGCAGTTGAAAGTTCATGCCCTCCACTCTTCAGTGAGCCCTCACAGAAGAGCAATCACTCTTGTGTCCCTGGTTTCCATCAGAACCCTGCATTTACCCTGCCTGTGTCTGAGCATTTTTTTTTTTTTTTAAATCTCTGACGCACAACTGAATTTCAAAACTCCTATATTTTAGGGACTCCTGCAGGTCAGACTGTGCTGTTCCTCCCTGGAGCCCTGGGGAGGAGGGTGGGGGGGGTCTCCCTACGCTTCTGCTGTTTGCCAGGCCTGTACCAGGAAAGCGGTCACAGTTTCTCAGTTATCAGAGTGATTCACAGTTTATGGCAAAACAGAGCAGAAAGCCAGCACCTGCACTGGCTGTTCTCAGCCACCTTCTACGCTCCTATGCCTGGAAACAATGCAGCACTTATGTGCCATCTGTCCTTCTTGTGACCAGGGGATACTGAGAGACCACGTGAGTTCTGCCGTGCTTTGCCACCTGAGCGCCTTTAAGCCAGGCACATACCCATGGTAGCAGACTTCTAAAAGTTTCAGTTTTGTGCCTTGCTGCTTATAATGCTTTGTGGTAGCCTCCACCTGTGGGGTCCCTCCCTGCCACTGGATCCACAGCTATGTCTCCCCAAATTGAAGTCTCTGCATCTCCTACCTACCAAAAGGTAGCCACAGTCTACTTGTAGACTGGAGTTTTTTTTCTCTCAGAACTCTGATTGATTTCTCAGGTGTTCAGAGTGTTTGGATTACTATCTAGCTGTATCTGAGGGACGAGACAAACTTAGGGTTCCCCTGATCCTCCACCATCTTAACTCCTTGTCTGGTTTCATTTACTCAGCATAATGGTTTTGAGACACACCTGGATAGTTGCACACAGCTGTAATTTTGTTTTTGTTTGTTTGTTTCAAGTAGCTTCTTTAAAGCTTTGAGAATCAGAGTTTGATTAGCTTTTCCTCTTTCCTCGACTCTTGCCTTTTGGCCAACTGCTCACTTCCTACCTTCAGTGATTCCTGAGCACAAAGACTATCAGTATGTTCTTTTATCTTAAAAAATAGAGCCAGTGGCCCTGTGTCCACCGTCCTGCATTTAACTATGCTTTCTTGGACCCTTCCAAGGAATGGTAGCGAGTGGCTGTCCTTAACTATTTCCGGGCATCTCCTTCTATTTAAGAGAGAGAAAGTGTATAAATTCACAACTCCTAGTCCGGTGGGAAATTCTGGCCTGCATGGTCTTTGGGAATTGCTTTTATGGGTCCCCAGCCTCCTGCATGGGCCTGCGAGGGCCAGAGCTGGCTTGAGTGGCTGTTCGAAGGTGGCCCTTCATGTGTTTACTTTGTCTTCCAGAACAATCCTGAGAAGACAGAGGCATCAGAACGAGGGGACTTCTACATCACGGGGGACCGAGCCCACAAGGACAAGGATGGCTACTTTTGGTTCACTTGAAGAAATGATGATGTGATTAATTCCTCAAGGTCAAGCTGTCTGCTCTGTCCTTCTCCCTTTGAAGCTTTGTGTGTGTGTGGGCGGGGGGGGTCACTTGGAAGAGTTTGTTTTTCTCTTCCAGCTACCGGATTGGACCCCTTTGAAGTGGAAAATGCCCTTGCTGAGCACCCTGCTGTTCTAGAGGCTGCTGTGGTCAGCAGCCCAGACCCCATCAGAGGGGAGGTAACAGTCCAGCCAAGAACATTGCCTCCTGGTTCTTTACCTGTTCACACCCAGCAGAGTGAGCTGGAAGACCCACATTCCCCCCTATCTCACTCCACGTGGGTACTACAAAGTCTGAAATGCCACACATTCCTTTTGGTTAAGCATTAATGTCAAGCCTTTAGTGGCCGACTCTTGAGAGGGGTCTACGAGGAGACACGAGGAGGGACATGAGGAGAGGATACCAACACTTTCGTGTCAAATGGACCTGGAACTGGGTCCAAAAGAGGTGGACATTAGATAGGAGAGCTTGGCAGTGGGTTCAGTCTCTGTCATTCGTCCTGGCTGATAGAGAACCGTTTCCCATTTGCAGATGAGGATATAACAAGCACACCACACATGGCTGCTGACAGTGCTAACCTGAGAGGAATATCCATCTTAAGGGATGACAGAATAAGTATCCATCATGACCCTGCTGTATCAGAAAGATGAGCCAAATTTCATAAGCTGACCTCTCCCAGGAGAAATGCAAATTCCTTCCCATGGATCTCAGAGAAATAGAGTGGGAGAAATGAAGCTTTTCACTGGCTGTAAATCCAACATAACCCTACAGTATAGTGTAGTTACCTTATGAAAGTTAGTACAACATCAGGCTGTGTGTGTTCTCAGAAGCACGAGGGCCAGAGGAGTGGGTCTCTAAGTCAGGGCCCTAGACTACTCATAGCTGCATCATCTGGGATTCTTGTTTAAAATACAGATTTCTAGATCTCAAGTCAGTCTTGCTGAATGAGAGCGATTGAGGATGCAGCCCAGGCCTTCTTCATTTTGATTAGAAGCCCCTATCCAAGTGATTCTGATGCCTGTTAAAATTTGAGGCCAATGATTTAGAATAAGGGAGGTGGGAGCCCCATATATGTTCTGGAGAAATCACACCTGGAAAAGTATACCTAGCATTGTATATTGCAAATTAGCTGGGGTTGTGACAGATGGCTGTGTGTGGTTAATCTGCATACACTCAGAATGGAGCCTCACGCATAGAAAGGTGTCAGTACATGTTTGGTAGTTTTAACAGTCAGAGCCTTTCCCAATCACCAGATCTATCTGAACATGAAATGTAGTGAGATGCCCGCTTTTGGGAAGCATGCAAGGATGGTGAACCCCCACCTAACAGGGCTTGGTGTCAGGATGGTGAACCCCCACCTTGACAGAGCTATATGCTGGGGTGGGTAAGCAACCTACTGGCCTTTGACCTCTTCCACTCCTGTCAGAAACCATGTTCCTTTGTTATGTGTCAGGACTCTTCCTTCTTAATGGGAGGCAGCCTGCTAAGAAAGGCTCAGGCAGTAACAGCCAAGGTACAGAAAGTCCCACTGGACACGTGGCATGGAAGCTGTGCAGCAAAATGTTTGCTGGTTGGAAACACGTGTACATGCAGGCTCAGAAATACCCACTTCCCCTCAGTGCAATATTCCCAGTCCTGCATGTCCAACTACCTGCCAGGTACTTTTCCAGTCACAGAGACTTGGAAGTAAGGGACTCTGGGGAGATTGTGAAACTTCTCTTTCCACAGAGTATTTGTGTCAGAAAAGAAGCTCCTTGGCTGCTTACAGTATTATTTTAAGAAAGAGAAGCAGTTTGGGAAACAGGTAGGATCCTGGAATCATTCTACAAAAGTCAGTGTTTCCAATAGTTGGTCCTGGAATGGAGACGATAGGAAAAAAAAATGATGTTGTCCATTTTGTTGGCTGAGCCAGAGGCGCTGGCAGAACTTTCATGCTTGGCTGGCAAAAGGAGAAATAAGTTGTTATAAAGGGATTGATTCTTTCTGGTTTTAGAGGGTTTGTTTTTGTGTTCTTCTGGTAGGTGGTGAAGGCCTTTATTGTCCTTTCTCCATCTTACTCCTCTCAAGATCCTGAGAAACTAACTCAGGAGCTCCAGGAGCATGTGAAAAGGGTGACTGCTCCATGCTAGTACCCCAGAAAGGTAAACATCAGGAGTTCTAGGACTTGATGAGCTGAGAAACCACCTGAGCACACATTGCATCTGCTCTCAGTCAGGGCCAAGCCCCAGGGGTGGGGGGTGGGGGGAATGAAGGTACAAATAACAGAGCTTCTCCTTCAGCCTTTTCTCCCTGTTTCCTCACTGGGCCTGCCCCAAACCACAGTTTGTTCCTACTCTAAGAAGTGACAGACCTCAGATTCGGGGGGTGGGAGAATGGGGGGGTGTGGAGAGACGGTGCTGAATCTCTGTGGTCAAGATCATGTGCCCCAGACCCTGGCCATTTTGGTCATTGCCATTTAGAGAAAACTATGAGTCATAGACACTTTCCAACAAACTGGCAGAGGGTAAGGATTCTTTCAAGTCAGAAGTCCTTCTAGGAAATGATTTCAAACTGTTTTTGTTTTATGGTCACTAGGTGGCCTTTGTTTCAGAACTACCCAAGACGGTTTCTGGAAAGATCCAAAGGAATAAATTGAGAAGCCAAGAGTGGGGGGAGATGAGAGGCAACCCCCGAAAGGCCCCATAGGCCTCTGAAGCTTCTAAGAAGAACTGGTGGGATCACTGGTTAGTCCTTGTCTGGGGCATCATCCCTTCAACCCTGTGAACATCGAAGGCTTTCAGTTCCAAATGAGCAGGACCCTGGAAGAGAGCAGAAGAATGTCACTAACCCAGATGCACAGCCCCTGCCAGCCTAGTGTATGTTTGATGGCTTGACTTCCCCCTCCTCTGTCTGAAGGCATTCTCAGCAGCTGCTTACTGTCTTATTTCCAGCTGATCCTCTGAGGACAGGTCGCCATAAAGTCAGGGCTCCTGTGATCTCATTCACTGCTGGTGGGGAGTCATCACTTGACCCTTTTGATAAAGCCGTTTGGTAATCATATCCAGGGTCATGAAAAATTGGTCCTACCCTTTCATCTGGAAAGTCCATCTTCAGTAATTACTGTAAAAGAAAGGATTCAAGGATATGTACTGGAGTATTGTTTAAAACTGTAACAACAACCAAAAAAAAGGGAAAAAAAAGGAAAAAAAAAAAAAAAAACCAATGTCCAGCCAATAGGACAATGACTAAGTTGTAGTAGCTTAACTCAGTAATGTATTATGTGACCTTTAAAAATAGGTCTTGGGGCATACTTGAGCTAAATTAAGTTTAAATCAGAATAAAAATAATATATGTGTAGTGGAGAACCATAACTTTGAATGGTAAAGGAAAAACTGTGGAAAAAAAGCCTGAAAGGAAATACTTATGTTAAAACCAGTATTCCTGGGGATTGAAAATAGTGGTTGATAGTTTTTTTCTTTCCTCTGTGTTTCTCTATTTTCCAAGCTTTCTCAGTAAGTATGTATAACTATTATAATGAAAAAAGTATCTTAAAGAAACGATTCCCCCAAACCACACTCTGCCTCCAACAATCATCTGCTGAAGATTAGTGTATTATGTTGTGCCCACCACAAAAGATACAAGGACCCAAAACCACATCTCAGGCCCAGAAACGGAAAGAGGTGGCTCTGGGCCTCTGACACCAGCCACGCGGAGACGAAGCAGATGGAAACTCAACATGATCTTCAGTGCCGCTTAGCCAACCCGCGGGACCTCCATTCAGCCACCAATCAATATTTATTGAGCACCTACTCAGTGCTGGGCTCTGGAAATACAACAATAAGCAAAAGTCAACCCAGTCAGTACCTGTATTAATCTGTTCGGGCTGCCATGACAAAGTACCATAGACTGGCAGGCTTTAACAAGAGAAATTTATTTCCTTGGTTCTTGAAGCTGAAAGTCCAAGGTCATGGTGTCAGTGGGCTTAGTTTAATTCTGAGGCTTCTCTCTTTGGTTCGTAGACAGCCGTCTTCTGTGTCCTCACATGATCTTTCCTCTGTCTCCTGATCTCCTCTTATAAGAACACCAGTCAGGTTGGATGAGGGCCTGAGGACCTCACTGTAACTTAAGCACGTCTTCGAAGGCCCCATCTCCAAATTCCAACCACATATTGAGGCACTGGGGATTAGGACATTAGCATATGGATCTGAGGGGACATGATTCAACCCATGACACTACCCTTGTGGAGTTTACAGTTGAGTGGGGAGGTTGATGTTATTCATCAAAGAGTAAGGCAAATAATGCACAACTGTGATAAATTCCATGAAGGAAAGAGTTTAGTTAAAACATAGATTGTGGGGACTGACCAAGACTGGGAGGACTCAGGGTAGCAGGACACCTTCCATAAGGAGGTCCTTGGTGAACTGGGATTGAAAGGAAAGTGGAAGTAAACTAAGTAAAGAGATTGGGGCCCAGCATTCTAAACACAGGATACAGCATGCGCAAAGGCCCTGAGAGGGGAGAGATAGGTTAGTGTTTCTAAGAATAGAACACTGAGCAACCAGCTACAGTCAGGCACAGTTCTGTGTATTTTAACTGTCAACCTTCGTATTGAACAGTACTGATGACATTCTCATTTTACAGGTAGATCAAAGAAGTTAAGCAATTTGCAGTTGAGGATGACTGGAGTTTTGTCTTCAGTGAGTGCTAGGGAGCCACTAAAGGTTTATGGCAGAGGAGTGATCCTTAAAGTTTTAATAGCCCTTAAAAAGAAAAAAAAAAAACTTGTCAAAATGGTTTACTTTTTCTTTAAGTCTTTTGTCTTTGTGGCCTTCCTGGGCTGGGTAAATTTTCTTTGTGTTAAAGGTGGAAATTTACCTTTATGTTAAAGGTGGAAATTATGTTAAAGGTGGAAAGCTTTGGTGATTTACCCCAGACCCGATAGGTCTGACTCTGCAGCCTCATTAGTGCTCTTGGGGTGGGGTTTGGAGTCATGCCTTAGACACTGCTAGAATTCCTAATGAGCCCCTCAAAATCATAATTATTATTATGATTCCAGGACCACAGCCCTCATTCCCCAAATCCGCTGCATCAGAGATTGGGGGTGATCTCCGGGATCTCTAGGTGATCAGTAGGAATGGTTAGTGACTCCCAAACCCTCTGTATATACAGGTGTGTGGAGTCCAAACACTGTTCTCCAAGTCTCCTATTCTAGTCTTGCTATAATTTGCTGAGTGTTTTACTATATGAGAATGCGTTTTTTAAGAAAAACTTTTACTTATTACTTTTTGAAAAAGTAAATGTAGCTGGGGCAAAGGCATGCAAGTGCACCTGGCTCTCGGGGTCCCAAACAGATCAGGTTCAGCCAATCACTGCTGACAAAATCCAAAGGTAGAGAGACAAGTGGTGGTAAATGAGAAAGGAATTTATTTCAGTGAGGCCAACACCAGGAAGACAGCAGACTAGCATCTCAAAGTTTCCACAAAGTGTTGAAAATATTTCCAGGCTTATATAAAGAAAATGTGGGACAAAGGTCAGTGAGTATGGGCAGGGGGGCAGTAAAGGTCAGGTGGAGCATTGCCTTGAAGTCAGTCACACAGGGTGTTGCTACATCAGGGCAGTCCTTACTATTGCTTGAGGGGGTAGTTTCTGTTCAGTCAGGAGGTGCTTTGCCCACAGGGTCTTTTGCCTGAGTTAAAAGGTAAGCTGGAAAGAAGAGTTTAATTGGTTAGAAAGTACAGACTGAGGTCAAAGTGCAGGTGGTTGAAGTCTTTGATAGGTAAAAATTTAATTTGAATGAGTTAATAAGAAAGCCCACTTTGATCTGTTTAAGTCAAACTTGCTCCTTTCTCCAGAAGCAACTGAGGTGACTGGTTTCTAGCACTCCCTACCAGAGGTATCCTAAACAGCTATCAAGTTCAATCCTCACACGTCTAAATGGTCTCCTAGGACTAGCCCCCATTTTCAAGTAAGAAGACTGAAATTCCGGGCAGGAGTAACAACTTCTTTAAGAGCACACAGTTCAGGGGCGTCTGGGTGGCTCAGTGGGTTAAGCCTCTGCCTTCAGCCTGGGATCGAGCCCCACATCGGGTTCTCTGCTCATCAGGGAGCCTGTTTCCCCCCTTTCTTTACCTGCCTCTCTGCCTACTTGTAATCTCTCTCTCTGTCAAATAAATAAATAAAATCTTAAAAAAAAAAAAAAAGAAGACTGGAAGAACACACAGCTCAGTAGCAGGGGAAGCCAGATTCAAATCCAGACAGACTTCATGTTCTTGGTCCTTTATCATGAACTTCTATAGCTTCTATCTAGCTGTACTGTGTAGTCATGGATAAAGAGGCTGATAACCACAGGAGCTGAAGAACCAGAGGGTATTTGCACAGGGAAGAGGGTGTCACTGGCACAGGAGAAAGGACAAATCCAGACTTCAGAAGAGAGCTCTGTAAGGCAGGGAGAGTAGCAGTGAGCAGGAATGCATGGGATGGGGTGAAGTCGGTACCCCTTCCCCAGACCAGGGAAGTAAATGAGGCAGAGGTGAACAACTTCAATGTTTCTAATAGGTGCCCAAGAAAGAATGCAATGGGAAGCATAGTTGATCATTTGGGACTCCTCGTAGACCAGGAGAAAGCCTGGTAAGGTAGATCCCTTATTTCTTTCCACCAGATATCTACGGAAAATGTCATCTCCCTTTCCCAAGCAGACAGAACTATTTCTTAAAAGTCCTCTAACAGAGCCTTAGAGAAGGACAGCAACTCGGGTACCTAATTCTGCAGGATTTAGGTCTCTGCTGGGGTCCTGTTTTCCTCCCCTCTGTGGCAAAGTGATCAAAATAAGTGACTGAACAGAAGGGAAAGGGTTGTTCAGCTGATTTCCTGTTTCTGGTGCCTGAAGCCCCATTGTAGGTAATTGGTGAGAGGGCAGAGAACAGCAACAGCAAGAGGTATTTAGGGCAGACACTGGGGAGGACTTTCTGGAAGAGAATTAAGAGACTCATGACAGTGTGATTCTGAGATGTTTAGGAATAGCTATTACAGGAGTATTTAAGAAGGGACAAAAACCTTCAGGGCCAGGGGCGCCTGGCTGGCTCAGTGGGTTGGGCCGCTGCCTTCGGCTCAGGTCATGATCTCAGGGTCCTGGGATCGAGCCCCGCATCGGGCTCTCTTCTCAGCAGGGAGCCTGCTTCCTCCCCTCTCTCTCTGCCTGCTTGTGATCTCTCTCTGTCAAATAAATAAATAAAATCTTTAAAAAAAAAAAAAACAACCTTCAGGGCCAGAGGGGCTAGGTGGTAGAGTTCTGTGAATTTTCCTGGGGTAGAAGAGGAGTTCATCCCAGGATATGACTGCTGCTCAACATAAATAGGTTTTTCAAGCCACATCATTTCTAGGTTGCCCAGAGAAAAGCATAAAAAGGGACTAGATTGCTTTTAGTACCCTCTCTAGGTCTGTCTCTCCAGACTCCCACCTTGGATCCTGGCTTCTTGGGTCTTTAAGCCCTCTAACTTCTTCAAATGTCTCCTGATGTGGGTCTCTGGTATTTGTACCCTCAGTGATTAGTCATTGCTAGGTAACTGGCACCCTAATCTTGTCCATTTCCAGGACTCATGTCTCCAACAGAGACCTCTGCATTTGGGAGCCTCAATCCCTGCTGGTCATGGGGGCCTTTTTAGCATATGAACCACTGATGGTCAGCACCTCAGAGGACTAGCTCTCTGAGTAGATCCTTGGGGTGCATAATGGCCAGAGTGAGAGCAGAAAGGCAAGCTCTGTGGCATTGGGGTACTCACTCCATCTGAGAGGATATAGGATCTGAGGTGACCTGTAATGTCAGAAGTCCCTTATTCAGCTGCAATATTTTTTCTCTTAGGTTAGTGTTTCTGGAAGACAGCTTGTCTCAGAGGCTGAGAGCCCTCTGCTTTCCAGCTCTTGTCTCAGGGTCGATGATCCAGATGCCGTTCACCAGCTTGGGCAGGTGAGAGCCATTCTACTGGGATATTAGCATTCTAGGCGTGGGTCTGGGATTGATTAGCTGTGTGACCTTAAGGAATTATTGTCCCACTCTGGACTTTCATCTTAACCCCTCGATGACCTGGGAAGGTCTTTGTTTTTCTGATCCTATGAACCAAACAAATTATAGAAGAGCTAATATTCATTGAGTTGGACAAGACAATATAGTGGAGTGGGATAATTTGCAGAGACAGAGAATATTAGGTGCCCAGCTTTGGGCAAAGTATGTTTGATGTGAATGACAGATATCCAAGGGGAGAAGTGAAGCAGATTGGGATGCAACAGAGAGATCCAGGCTGGAGACACATGTGAGGGTCATTGGCAAGGAAGCTGGGGTCCTAGCTACTGTGCTGGGTGAGACCTTGTATGGGCTGAGTGTGGATAAAAGAGATGAGGCGGAATCATCAAAAGAGAAAGTGAAGAAAGGGTTGAAAGAGGTGAAAGAAAGTACATCAAGCCCATGGAAGTTCTGTTTCTCTTTCCCTGGTTGGAGCTAGAACTTCCTGTCAGTCCTGAGCATAAATCTCCTCTTTGCTCCCTGAATTAAAAAAATTGTCCCTGCTGCCTCCCCTCTCCCCACCCCCAAAAGGCTCTGGGGGTGCATTCCATAAACACAGCAGGGAGGACTGCCATCACCCCAGGTAAGACCCTGGTATTGTCCATAGTTAATGATTAGCTCTGGTCTCCATGAAGGCCCAGGGATTCCTGGAACTATCTTCTTGATCCGCTGCATTCTTTCAGAGGTGGTAGGAATTCAGGAGCTGTCTGCTTAGGTGGAGGGTGGACCAAGAGATCCCCAGAGAAACTTCCCAAAGGACTTGGCAGGTGAGCACTGTTGTCAGGAATGCTGGCTGATGGGTCACTAGCTGATCTCTAGAAGTCAGGGCTGTGGAAGAGAGTGAAAATCTCCAGGAAAAAGCAGTCTGCAATCCCTAGGAACCTTTACAGGACCGGGTCTTAGTGAGGAGGCAGCATGGAGCAAAGGAAAAGTGTCTATAGCACAGCAAAGGGAGGGACTGAGGTGGCTGGGAGAAGGGCAGTCAAAGGGGGTGGGAGTTGGATGGCCATCAGGAAGGAGGCCTGTCTGAGGAGGTAAGGCCAGAAGGATGAGCAAGAGCCAGCCATGGAAAGAGAGAGCGACCAGAAGGTACAAAGGCAATAATATTGCTGCCTAGGAGCTGGTAAGGATATTTTCACTTGTTCATGTGGAAAATAGGAGAGAAGACACAAGTGTTCATTGACCTTGAGTATTCTGGCTGCTGGTGTCTAGAAAATGGCGGATGGGAATCCAGCCACTGGCAGGACTTCTAGCTAGATTCATTGAATCAAAGGTCCTAGAGTTAAATTCTGCAACCCCCATCAAGGTGAACATGTTGGAACTCAGAGACCAGCCTACACAGCCTTGGAACTATGTTCCCTGGAGCCAACACATAGATGAAAGCAATAATTACAACAATTAAAATTTCTTTTTTTGTTGTTGTTTTTTTAACAGTTATAATTTCTAATGTGATTCTGGGTGTAGGCCCCATGTGCTAGGTGCATAGTATTCAAGATATCAGTTAATTAAAAAGTTTGGATCTTATTAGTTTAGAGAGTCACCTGAAAGACTAATGTATAATACAGACTTGTTTATTTATGATTGTTAGTAAGTAGGGTAAATAACAGATCCCTTATACTATTAGTAAAGTGCTTTATTGCTTTGAGGTATACCTGTAATGAATGTTTCACTCCTCAAATTAAATTTTTCTTTGCTTGAAAAAAGATATCTCAGTCAAGATTCAGCTGAAGGAAGTAGATGCCATTTGAATTAGTCAGCATATACTATAGTAACAATTATACCACATGTCTCAGGAGCTTATTATATCCACACATTTTTTTTTTTTCTCATGAGTCTGTGTGTTGGTTGTGGCTGTTAGGGCTTAGCTCACCTCTACATGTGCTATCATCCAGGACCCAGGCTGAAGGTATAGCACCTATCTGTGATATGTTACTTTCATAATAGAAAGCAGAAATGCAGGAGTTCCTGACCAACTACACAATCTCATCTGCTCACATCTCATTGACAAAAGCATATCCCATGAATAAGCCAAAGTCAATTAGAGGCAAATACATCCTTTTCCCCAAAATGCACTGGGCAAGTCACATGAAAATGAATGGGGACACATAATCCTATGATAGGGAGGAGGCAGTTGTTGGAAAAAATAATTTAATCTACCACACCACAGTATTTTTTTTTTAAAGATTTTATTTATTTGACAGAGATCACAAGTAGGCAGAGAGGCAGGCAGAGAGAGGAGGAAGCAGGCTCAGTGCTGAGCAGAGAGCCTGATGCGGGGCTTGATCCCAGGACCCTGAGATCATGACCTGAGCCGAAGGCAGAGGCTTAACCCACTGAGCCACCCAGGCGCCCCCACACCACAGTATTCTAAACACAAAAGTATTTATTGCATGAAATTAGATGTTTATAGGACTGTCATGAAGGGCTGGAGAGGTAAGATTTAGACTGGGTGTTGTGCTTTTGGAGAATGGTATACCAGAAGGAAACAGTACTGAATGCTGAGTGCCAATTCACACATAACCACCACAAATTCCTTTCTGGAAGAACCCTATAAGGTTGTGATGAATCTCCTTAAGCAGCTGACCTAGAGCAGTCTATAACAGAAAGACTCACTACTGTAACCTCTTTATTTCACAGGTCTGACCATGCACTGGCTGTGGAAACTCCAGCAGGTTTGCATCCGATGCAGGACCCAGATGTCTAGTCGCACTGTCCACCTTCATACCAAGCAACTGACATCCCTGCAGTGGGGTCACCAGGAGGCCCCTGAGAAGTTTAACTTTGCTATTGATGTGATAGATCACTGGGCTGGCATGGAAAAGGTAATGGGGTGGAAAGGGGGCACAGAGTCGAACAAAGTTCATTAATTCATCCACTCATTCTCTAAATATTCATTGAGCACTTATGTGTCAAGTACTATGATGAGCTGTAAAGATGTCCATCTTCCATGAAAGCAGCATGGGTAGGAGCAAGAGAGCATGGGCTTGGCAGAAAGGAGCACTCTGGGGCTGGTGCCAGGTGGATCAACCTCGAACACTTCCCCACCCCAGCCCTAGCGCTGACACATAGTTTGCCTATACATACATGCTCTCTTATGACCTCCCAGGGTAAAATAAGAAGGGAGCTGTGGTCATAGAGAAAGTAGATTGGAGTTGAGTAAGAGAAAATCAGCAGTGACCAAAGACTGAGTTAGTCTTCTCAGAAAATTATGTGTCCTTGTCATCACGGGTGTGTAAGCAGGGTGGCCACTAGGCAGGGATTGTTCAAAAGGGCTCTACCATGAGATATCAGAGAAAGAAGGCAATGTGGAAATTTCCCTCCCTGAACTTCTAGAATTCCACCCCATTCATTGCTAATCCTGACATTACCTTTACTTGTAGTTCTGTGCACCATTCTAGAGCATGAAAGATGTATTCCTGGATAATATAGAGGAAGAGGTAGAACATGATGCTCAAAGGGAGTCATACCATGATGTTGGCCTGAGGTCCCAGCACCATAACACAACCTTCATGTGCAGATCACAAATGCTGGGCCTCTAGCTGAAGATGGCTCATGGTGCAGACACTCTTAAAAAATAATAATAATAGGGGCATCGGGGTGGCTCAGTCAGTTAAGTGTTTGCCTTTGGCTCAGGTCATGATCCCAGGGTCCTGGGATGGAGCCCTGAATCAGGCTCCCTGCTCAGTGGGGAGCCTGCTTCTCCCTCTACGCCTCCTACCACTCATGTATGGGCACTCACAGGAACTCTCTCTCTCAAAGAAATAAGTAAAATCTTTAATAATAATAATAATAGGGGCGCCTGGGTGGCTCAGTGGGTTAAGCCGCTGCCTTCGGCTCAGGTCATGATCTCAGGGTCCTGGGATCGAGTCCCGCATCGGGCTCTCTGCTCAGCAGGGAGCCTGCTTCCCTCCCTCTCTTTCTGCCTGCCTCTCTGTCTACTTGTGATCTCTCTCTGTCAAATAAATAAAATCTTTAAAAAATAATAATAATAATAAGTCAACATTTTATAAAACAAGTTTTTCAGATAAAAATTTAATCTAAATTAATTTTGGCTTTTCTTTAAAAGTTATATCTCCTTAGAATAATGAGGAAGGTCTTTACTACCATGACTCAGAATCCTGAATCCATAAAAGAAATAATTTAATAAATTAGCTACATAAACATCAAAAACCCACTACATTGACAAATAATGCCATAAACAAAATAAAGAAACTAGTGACAAGTGATCAAAGATATTCAACTCCTGTGATAGCATAAGAGTTAATATTCCCAACATAAAAGAGCTCCTTGAAATCAAGAATAAAGAGACACAACCAGGGGCACCTGGGTGGCTCAGTGGGTTAAAGCCTCTGCCTTCGGCTCAGGTCATGATCCCAGAGTCCTGGGATCGAGCCCCACATCGGGCTCTCTGCTCCACGGAGAGCCTGCTTCCCCCTCTCTCTGCCTTTCTTCCTACTTGTGATCTCTGTCAAATAAATAAATAAAATATTTAAAAAAAAGAGATACAACCAAATACAAGTGGGCCAGGTATATGAGTGGACAGTTTATAGAAAAGGGAGCTCAGGGGCTCCTGGCTGGTTCAGCCAGTAGAGCATGTGACTCTTGATCTTGAGGTTGTGAGTTTAAGCCCCATATTGGGCATAGAGATTACTTTAAAAATAAAATGCTTTAAAAAAAGCAAAGTGAGCACAAACGGCCCTTTAATATAAGAAAAAAAATGCTCAACCCCACTCATAATAAGAGTAATATAAGCTAAAACTTCATTGAAATAATATTTTTATCTACCAGTTTAGTTAAATACAGGAATTTGACAACATACTCTGTTGATAGAACTATGAGGAAAATGGCACTTTTACACATTACTGGTCAAAGTACAAAATGATACAACTCTTGGGAATTTTTAAATACCTAACACAATTACTACTAAATTTTCTCCGACTTTGTAGTACTGCTTTCAGACTATGATATGGAACCCCTGAGGATACCTGAGGCTCTTTCAGGGTAACCTGTGAAATCAGAACTATCTCAGAACAAAACTAAGACAAATTGGAATCCTTGTGTATCACCAGTAGGTATGTAAAATTGTACAGCTTCTGGAAAAATAGTATGGCAGCTCCTCAAAAAAAATTTCAAATAGAATTACTATATAATCTAGCAATTTCACTCTTAGGTATATATCCCCAAGAATCAAAAGCAGGGTCTTGCTTAGGCAACTCAGTGACTCCATCAAACATAATAACTTCTGTATTATAGGAGTACCAGAAAAAGAAGAGAAAAGGGGGCAGAAAATTTTTTTTTTTTTTTTTTTTTTTAAAGATTTTATTTATTTATTTGACAGAGAGATCACAAGCAGGCAGAAAGGCAGGCAGAGAGAGGAGGAAGCAGGCTCCCTGCTGAGCAGAGAGCCCGATGTGGGGCTCGATCCCAGGACTCTGAGATCATGACCTGAGCCGAAGGCAGCGGCTTAACCCACTGAGCCACCCAGGCGCCCCAGAAAATTTATTTAACAAAATAAAAGCTAAAAACTTCCCTAATCTGGGGAAGGAAGCAGATATCCAAATCCAAGAGCATAGAGAACTCCCATGAAAATCAACAATAGTGGGCCAATACTGAGACATATTATAATTGAATTTTCAAAATAAAAACGATAAAGAAAAAATCCTAAAAGCAGCAAGACAAAAGAAGTCCCTAACTTAAAAGGGAAAACCCATAGGGCTAGCTGCAGATTTCTCAGCAGAAACTTGGCAAACCAGAAGAGAGTGGCTTGATAAATTCAATGTGCAATGGACAGATCAGCAGTCAAGAATACTCTGTCCAGGGGGCACCTGGGTGGCTCAGTGGGTTAAAGCCTCTGCCTTCGGTTCAGGTCATGATCTCAGGGTCCTGGGATCGAGCCCTACATCGGGCTTTCTGCTCAGCGGGGAACCTGCTTCCCCCTTTCTCTGCCTGCCTCTCTGCCTACTTGTGATCTCTCTCTCTCTGTCAAATAAATAAATAAAATCTCTAAAAAAAAAAAAAAAAAAGAATACTCTGTCCAGCAAGGCTGTTATTCAGAATAGAAGGAGAGATAAAAAATCTCCCAGCCAAATGAAAACTAAAGGAGCTCAAGACCACTAAACTGGCTGTGCAAGAAATATTAAAGAATACTCTTTGAGTGCAAAGGAAAAACCAAAAGTGACAAAGACAAGAAAGGAACAGAAAAAATTGCCAGAAGCAACAACAAAACAAGAAAATGGCACCAAATTCATATCTATCAATAATTGCTCTGAATGTAAATGGACTAAATGCTCCAAACAAAAGACATAGGGTGTCAAAATGGATTAAAAAACAAAACAAAACAAAACATACCCATTTGTATGTTGCCTAAAAGAGATTCATTTTAACCCTAAAGACACCAGCAGACAGAAAGTGAGGGGGTGGAGAACCATTTGTCATGCTAATGGATGTCAAAAGAAAGCTGGAGTAGCCTTATATCAGACAAACAATATTTTAAACCAGACTGTAATAAAAGATAAAAAAGGGCACTATATCATAATAAAGGGATCTATCCAACAAGTTCTAACAATTGTGAATATTTATGCCCCCAACATGGAAGCACCCAAATATATAAAGCAATTAATAACAAACATAAAGAAACTCAGTGATAATAATACAATACTGGTAGGGAACTTAAGACCCCACTTACAGCAACAGATGGGTCATCTATGCAGAAAATCAACAAGCAAACAATGGCTTTGAATGTCACACTGGACCAGATGGACTTAACAGATATATTGAGAGCATTTCATCCTAAAGCAGCAGAATACACATTGTTTTCTAGTGCACATGGGACATTCTCCAGAATAGATCACATACTAGTCACAAATCAGCCCTCAACAAGTACAAAAAGATTGAGATCATACCATGCATATTTTCTGACAGCAACACGATGAAACTTGAAGTCAACCACAAGAAAAAATTTGGAAAGACCACAAGTATATGAAGGTTAAAGAACATCCTACTAAACAATGAATGGGTCAACCAGGAAATCAAAGAAGAAGTTAAAAAATACTGGGCACCTGGGTGGCTCAGTCAGTTAACCATCTGCCTTTGGCTCAAGTCAAGATCTCAGGGTCCTGGGATCAAGCCCCACATCTGGCTCCCTGCTCAGTTTCTCCCTCCTCCTCCTTACGCTCTCTCTCTCTCTCTCTCTCTGTCTCTCTCAAATAAATAAATAAAATCTTTTAAGAAACATTAAAAAAGGAAATTAAAAAATAAATGGAAATGAATGAAAATGAAAAGCAGGATCTTGAAGAGATATTTGTACACCCATGTTCATAGCAGGATTATTCACAATAGCCAAAAAGGTAGGATCAGTGGATGAATAGATAAATATAATGTGGCACAGCCATATAATGGAATATTGTTCAGCCTTTTAAAAAATGAAATTTCTGTCATATGCTATAATAAGGATGAACCTTGAAGATACTATATTAAGTGAAATAGGCCAGTCACAGAAGGACACATGTTGTGTGTTTCCATTTATATGAGGTTCCTAGAGCAGTCATATTCATAGAGACAGAAAGTAGAATGCTGGTTTCCAGGGGCTGGGAGGATGGTGAACTGGGGAGATCTTATATAAGGGGACAGAGTATTCTGTCTAGAAAGATGGGAAAATTGTGGCAATGGATGATGGTGTTGATGCACAGTAATGTGAATGCACTTAATACCACTGAACTGTATGCTTAAAAATGCTTAACATGGTAAATTTTATGGTATGTATATTTGACCATAATAAAAAATAAATACATAGAGAGGGGAAACAAATAAATCTAAGATAACATTTGCCTTTTTCACTGTCACGTTCTGACAAGTATGTAGTGGTCTTTTCCAGAGGCTACATGGCAGGTGGTACTGCAGGAAGGTGTTGGAATCCAACTATATGCTATTAAGGAAGGTGTTAAAGAAATTTGCAAAAATGTAAAACGAAGCCACTCTTTTGTTTGTTTTAGAAAGTATACTTACCTCTTTATTAAAACATCATATTCATGGTAATGTATAATGGTTTGTTTCTGCTATTTGTAAAAGCACACATTTGTAAAATTTCTCGGTTTTAATTTCTAATGTAATAAGTAGGGATAGATAGAACCCATGTAAATAAAAGGTCTTTGGAGTGTGGAGGGGATCCTGAGATCAACAAGTCTACTAAGCACTGATGTGACAATTGCAAGGCAGGATTTATTCTACATGCATGTGTGTACCAACCCCCCCCCCCACCCCGATCAGCAGGTCTTCTCTTTCTTCAGGCTGGCAAGCGACCTCCAGGCCCAGCCCTCTGGTGGGTGAACGGTGATGGGGATGAAATAGTGTGGAACTTCAGCCAACTGAGGGAATTCAGCCAGCAGGCAGCCAATGTCCTTTCGGGGGCATGCAACCTGCAGCCTGGGGACTGTGTGGTGGTGGTGCTGCCCCGTGTGCCTGAGTGGTGGCTGGTGACCCTGGGCTGCATGCGAGCAGGTTGGTAATGAACCGCCTGGCCTGGTCACTATCTCCCTTATGAAGCCATTGGCAGTGAAATTCTACCACTCCTCCCAAAAGATGTCCCCTCTCCATAGCATCCTGTCTTTCCTCAGATGTTAATGCTACCCTTTGTTCTATTTTCTAAGTAAATTGTGCATGAAGCAGTGTGCTAAAGGTTGCTAATATAGAGTAGACAAAACTCATACTCAAATGTATAAACTCATGATTTATACATTCATGGGGCTTAAAGATCTTTGGAGAGAGATTGCCTTTAAACTATTAGTTGCACGCATAATTATTGAATCACAATTTTGATAAACGGCATGAGAATTTAATAAGAATGTATTGAAAGAAAAAAAAGTTGGCAAACAATGACCTATAGACCAAATCTGGTCTGCAGCTTGTTTTTGTAAATAAAGTTTCATTAGAACACAGCCATATACCCTGTTTACACACTGGCTGTAGCTGCTTTTGCACTACAGTGGCAGACTTGAGTAGCTGGGATAGAGAATATCTGGCCCACAGGGCCTGAAATATCTACTATTTGGCCCTTTGCAGAAAAATTTTGCCAACCCCTGTGATAAAAGGAGACCTGAACTGACTAATCTGAGGGGGTCCCAGTGGAATGGTATTTGGTCTGGGATCTGAAGGGTAAGTGGGATTCAGCCAGGAGAAGATGCAGAGAGGAATGCCCTAAGCAGAGAGACCAGCACAGAGAGAATGGAACCTTGCAAATTATGAGAAAACCTGAAAAGATATCTGTGTGTTTAGAGGCCGCAGGGAGAAAGTGACAAGTGAGCCTGGAACAATGGGCAGGCCCCTGAGGTCCATGGTGAGGGTTCTGAATCCTTATCCAGTGAGGAATGGAAAAGCATGGATGGATTGAGTGACATGATCACACTCGGTTTGTAAAAGTTCACCCTAGATGGTGCATAAAGATGGGATGGGGGAGGGCTAGAGTAGGAGTGGGAAACCCAGACAGGAAAAAAGGAATGATGCTGGCTTCAACCTTGGATGGGGTGGTAGAGATGTGGTAGAGAGTGGGTAGATTTAAGAGACAATTAGGAAGACTCTCAGAACACCATTTTTTGATGAGTGACATATGATAGAGAAAGAGAGCCAGGGAGAGATGGAGAAGTCATAGAAATTCTGGCATCTGGGTGGATGCTTCGAGCTTTCACTAAAGTGAAGACCACAGGGAGAAGCAGGTATGGGGCTGTCAGGGTAAGATGGCAGGTTCAATTTGGTAACTGTTGAGTTAGGGGTACCCATGTGATGTTCAAGAAGGGATGAGAAGTTTCAGTTACAATATAGATAGGTCTTGGGGATGTAATGTACAGCATGGGAACTATAGTTAACAATACTCTATTGTGTATTTGAAAGCAGGTAAGAGTAGATCTTGAAAACTGTTATTATCAGAAAAATATTTGTAATTATGTGTGGTGATTGATGTTAACTAAGCATGGTGATCATTTCATAATATATTCATATATCAAATTATGTGATATGACTAAACCTAGTACAGTGTTATGTGTCTATTATATCTCAATCAAAAATATGTATGGAGATGGGCGCCTGGGTGGCTCAGTGGGTTAAGCCTCTGCCTTCGGCTCAGGTCATGATCTCAGGGTCCTGGGATCGAGTCCCGCATCGGGCTGTCTGCTTGGCAGGGAGCCTGCTTCCTCCTCTCTCTCTGCCTGCCTCTCTGCCTACTTGTGATCTCTCTCTGTCAAATAAATAAATAAAATCTTTAAAAAAAAATATGTATGGAGAAAAGAAGGGAAGGAAAGTGAGCTGTTGCATTGAAGGGCACAATGTCTGAGATGGAGATAGAAATTCAAGAATCATCAGCCTTTAGATTCGAGAGATGAGAAATGGAAAGGTATAAGAAAGAGCCAGAGAAACACCTGCACAACCTATCGTCATTCCCACCCTACCCTTCCTGGCCTCCCTCACATGCAACAGGTATTCCCATCAGTAAGGCGGAAGATGGAAGTGTGGTCAAATAATCAAAGGAAGTGTAGAGACAGTTGTAGTAACTTGAGGCCCCATGAAGAGAGTGAATAGGCCACACAAGGAAGATGACACTCTGAGATATTACAGTCTGAAGGGAAGGAGAACTTAGCGAGGGACATGTGCCTCTTCTTCTGTGGACCTGACTCAACATGGCCATCGTATTGGAGACATACTTGGGATGTTTAATAGGTCTGCAGTGTGGATCCTAAAGTGTTAAGAGTGGGAATAAAGTAAGCCAGGGGTACAAGCTGTTCATGAGGAGGAACATGTGAAATAAGCTTTGTAAATGGTGAAATATAAGTCTAGTTATTCTCCAGAAGAATAAACAAAATCACATGGATCTTACCAAGAGAGGAGACAAAAACAAAGAAATCTAAGAGCACTCTTGGCCAAGATAATTCTGTGTTCCAGGCTTGGGAGAAGTAACCAGGCCTGAGAGCAAGACCCGTGTTGTAGGATGGAAAAATTCCAAGAGCCTTTACTTAGTTCAGTTACTGTGCTCACTTTGCCAGCACATATACTTAGTTTAATTACTGTATGAAAGTCTTTGGCTACAGGAAGCTCCTGTAGGGCATTGTATGTGGATGGGGAGCAGGGGCAAGGGGGTTAGACTGTCCATGGCATGACATCAGGCAACTCATTTTCTCTCCTTAGTCCTGGTAGACTCCTTACTGTTCTAACACACCCAGGAAATCAGTGTTGAAATCACTCTCTGATCTTTGGTGCCTTAATATTGATATTCCCCATTGGTCATCCCTTCCTCAACCCCTCTTTCCCCATATGCTCCCCACTGGTTGTTTATATCAGTCTTCTCTAGGGAAGAAGATAACCCTCCCACCCAATTCTCTCTAAGACATTTGGCTTCTCTAGGTCTTGTCTTCGTGCCTGGGACTATCCAAATGAAAGCAAAGGACATCCTCTACAGGCTGCAGGTGTCTAAAGCCAGGGCCATCGTGGCTGGGGATGAAGTGTCCCAGACAGTGGACACCGTGGCCTCTGAGTGCCCCTCTCTGAAAATGAAGCTACTGGTATCTGAGAAAAGCCGGGATGGGTGGCTTGACTTTAAGACTCTACTACGGTGAGTAGCTACATGTCTCAGCCTGTGTTTTCACCAAAAGTGGAAACTGAGCAAAGCTCTTACATGCAGATGTTTTGTTTGGGAGCTCCAGGGAGCAGAGTGTGGGCCTGGGGAATGTGAAGCAAGGATGAAAGAAAAGCTATTTAAGAGTTTGTTATCGAGTTACTACATGGCATAAATGGGCTTGATCTGCAGGGACCACACAGAATGCCTCTCAGGATTATTCACTGGAGGACTGACAAGGTTTGAGCCATCAGCACCTGAGCCCCGTTGGTGGAGGGTTGTATGGGGGGTGGGTATCATCGACCCCACACTTCCAGGCTGCACAAGCATGCATGCATGCAGAGTAGGCTCAGAGTCCCATGCTCTCGTGGCAACAGAGAAATCCTGGGGCACAAAGTGAATCAGCCATAGACCACACCAGAAGCACCACCAAGTGGACTGAAATGCTCAGAGCTGTTTACTGCAAATCAGGCAGGAGTCAGAGGTGAGCCCAAAAGCATATGCAGTAAAATGCAGAGGAGGCTGATATACTGAATATCCTCTTCTTTTCCTTGGTATCTCTAGGCTAGGCTTCTGAAGCAGAGGACTCTATGAGTCCTTCCAAGAGTGTATGGCTGGAAGAATGCATTTCCCTGTCACATATCTGGACTGCCTCCATTAGAGACACAGACCTTAGAAACCCCAGGGAGAACAAAAGCTTTTCCTAATGTCATGATCTTTAAGATAACTGTCAGAGAAGTTGACAACATGCAACAATCTTTGAGACTTGAAATCAGGACATGATAGGAGAGGTTCAAGAGAGGAAAGTCAAGGGAATAGAGGAGGGTGTATTGTGAAAACTGATACTAAATTGGCACCTACTATTAACCTGGTATCATGCAAGGGCTTCCAACACCATCAGGTTAACATGTATTGAGTTTTTGCAGGGCAAAAGTTGTTCATTATCTTTGTGTTACAGTTAATTTTCTCAGTAACTCTATGAGCCATCTTATATTATTGATGACATTTCATAGATAGAGAAAGTGAAACTCAGAGAAGTTCAATAGTCTGAAGTCACATAAAGTGCCAAATCTGAGTTGTTTTTGAACCCAAGTATGACTGACTCAGAATCCATTGATCTTAACCATTCATAAGCACCCCTTCTGAGGTGAGTTGGCTGACTTGCCCTTGCCAGCATCAGGGAAGGTAGGAAGAGGTGAGTCGCCGGGACATCTAGTGTCCCGGTGAGATCTGAGAATGTGACAGTCTTTGTCTTTGTCAGAGATGCATCTACCAATCATTGCTGTGTGGAGACTGGAAGCCAAGAAGCAGCTGCCATCTACTTCACCAGTGGGACTAGTGGTCTTCCGAAGATGGCGGAACACTCCCATGCCAGCCTGGGCATCAAGGCCAAGATGGATGCTGGGTAAGAGAAACCCTTTCTCTCTACAGAGAACTACATGACCAGGGCGTGAGACATTTCTGAGCTCAAATCCGGTTCTCTTTGGATGGGCTACCGTCTGTTGCTTCTGAGAAAGACAGCTGGGAAGGGGGCAAGAGGGAGCATGGCTTAGCAAGTTGGGTATCTAGTGACCTTTGGTGGGACATTTTTGTTTCAGGTAACTTGGGATCTCTAAACCTCTTCAGAGCTTTAAGCCATGTGTCTAATAGGATTAACACAAGGTTGATATGCATTTTCCCCTTCCAGTCCAATCTACATTTTGTCCTTTGGAATGCTGGTTATTTGCACTGATGGTGCCCACATTCCAAGAGGGCATTTTGGATACCAGCATCAAATTACTTTTCAAATCTGTTGAGGTGGAGGCTGTGATTGAATTATAGTTTACTCCTGAACAATACAAGGGTTAGGGACACTGGCCCCTGTGTGGCTGAAACCCAGGTGTAACTTTTGATTACCCCAAAACTTAACTACTAATAACCTACAATTGACCAGAAGCCTTACTGATAAGATAAACAATCAATTAACACCTATTTTATATGTTATATGCATTATATATGGCATTCTTTCGATAAAGTAAGCATGAGAAAAGAGCATTTTATTAAGAAAGTCATAAGGTAGAGAAAATACAGATATAGTACTGTACTATATTGAAAAAATCTGCGTATAAATGGGGCCATGCAGTTCAAACCATGTTGTTCAAGGGTGAACTATAATGAAGTGAACTGAAATTCAGAATTTCTGGATCTCCGATCCCATAATTCAGAATTTTCTTTAACTATATCAGCCTCGCCAATGGAATTAGAAAATACAGTGCCAAAATTGTCATGCAATAATAAGAGCTATTCAGGGTCTTTTTTTTCCCCAGGATATCCTGCTTATCACGTTCAAAGTCTGGTATTAGAACTGGAAAAATATTTTAATGCCAAAAAATCTAAAAAACTTAAATGCCCCATCTATGAGTCTGTAGTACTGGAAAATTAAATTATTTAATAGAAATTATTTAATAGAAGAGTTATAGTAAAATGCAGTTTCTAAAAGATGGGGTGATAAATCACTTAAATGTAAGTAAGATACTAAATTTCCACCTCTCACCCCTTATAGGCTATGACCCAATTTCCCTACAGAGCTGAAAATATTAATCTTTTTCAGTAAGAGTCACAAACTGTGATGATTCCCAGTCACAGGGAAGTTCTTCATCTCTAGCCTAAATCATTTTTTTGTTCAAGACAGGCTAATAACTTTTATTCTGGCCTGAAAAGAGAAATGAGACACATTTCACCCTGTACAAGACCTTCAACTATATTTAGGCAATTCATGATTCTTCAAGAAAAGAAAACCAAAGGTCTATCTGACCAAACTTGAACTTAGCAAGGCCACTTTTTAGGATATTCATTTAGATGTCTTTTGTCAGTAAACATTTTTTGGGTGGTTACCTCACGCCAAAATCTGTACTAAGTTCTGGGGATAGAATGAGAATGAGAACCAATTATCTGTAAGGTCATTGTCAGCTGGGGTTACACCTTCTGAATACTCACTCCTTCTTTAAATAGGACATGTGTTTAGAAAAACTTTCTTTCCTCCTGCCTGCTTATACTTACATACAGTGCTACAACACACACACACACACACACACACACACACGCACACGCACGTGCACACACACACCCCTCTATGCCTCCAACTCATGTTCCACCCACCTCAGCATGCTCTCATGTACTTGTATGTACATGTATTTCTTCTTTATTCTCAGCATATGGATGGACCTGCAAGCCTCTGACATAATATGGACCATATCAGACACAGCTTGGATACTGAACATCTTGACTTCATTTCTGCAACCTTGGGTAGCAGGAGCGTGCACATTTATCCATCTTTTGCCAAAGTTTGACCCAGCAGTCATCCTAAAGGTAAGACAGGATCCAGTCTGCACCAGAAGGTCAGAGATGGCCCAAGGTTTGCACACTCCAGTTTATTACAGTTTCTTTCAATTCAGCAAATATTTACTAACTCCTGCCACATGGATGGACAGTAATCGGTAAGCAAGATGGAAATGGTCCCTGCCCTCATGGAGCTCCTGGTCCAGGAAAGGAGAGACTTATATGCAGATAAAAGGGATATATTCAGGAGGCAGTTATCATTGGCCATTCGTTCACTCAAAACACATTTAATGGGCTTTTGCTTCGGTGTTAGAGTATCAGATTTTTTTCCTGTGGAACTTAATGGGACAGCCATTAAATAAAATCTACATATTTCATGACCCTGGAGCAACAAAGCAATGGAAATGGGATTATTTTGCTTGCAAAGGCACACCCTATGTTGGATTCTACAACATAAATGGAAAGTTGGGTCACTGGTGTCCTGGGGCCTCCAAGTCTCTGAAGCAATTGACAGCCCAATTGGCTGGCAGTAGAGAAGCTGGGGGCAATCTGAGGCATGGATGGCATACTTAAATGTCAAAAGGTCAGGCATGGTCTGGATTCTTTCAAGAAATTCTCTTCAGATGGTTCTGTCATTCTCTGTTTTAAACAAATGTAAACAGAGTAACTGCCTCCTTCCAAAAAGTATTTGAAATGGCTTTTGTTAACTGTCACAAATGGAAAACAGCAGCATGAAAACAGATGTAAAATTGTAAAGCATATTAGGAAAATATAGAGTGGAGCTATCAGTGAGTTGAGTAGGTCGGGTTGAGGAGAGTAAGAAGTATAGCAAATAAGTAGCTCATTTCCTGTTGAGCTTCCTGTAAGGCAAAGCAATTAGGGAAATGAGAAATTTTTCATCATTTATATCAGTTAATCAAGAACACTCAGAGGAGGGACACCTGGGTGGCTCAGTCAGTTAAGCGTCTGTGTTCAGCTCAGAGTCCAGGGTCTGGGATCGAGTCCCACATCTGGAGCTCCTTGCTCACTGGGGACCCTGCTTCTCCTTCTGCCTGCTTCTCCTTCTGCCTGATGCTCACCCTGCTTGTGCTTGCACATGTGCTCTCTCTCTCTGACAAATAAATACAATCTTTTTTTTTAAAGCACAGTTTGAAGAAATAATTGCATGTTGTGCTAATGTTAATATTTTTTTCTAGACACTTTTGCCTGAGTCTCTCTTTGTGATATATTATGCACAAAGCAAAACGTGGGATGGAGGTGGTGTTGCGACACGTTGAAAGTAAGGGCCAGAAATGTTGGTTCTAGTAGTCCCTGTTAGTTGTATGACCTTGGGCAAATTACTTAACCCTCTGACTCACAGTTTTCCTTCCTAAAATGTGGGTGATAATACACACTCCATGAGGTTATTGTGAGAATTCAATGAGATGGCACAGGGGCTGGCAACTATTCAGTACTAGCTATTTTTAATAACACTTCTACTGAATTGTTTATAGGCACTTCTGACTTTTCTCTTTTTTAAAGATTTATTTATTTATTTGAGAAAGAGAGCGCATGTATGTGTGTGACTGGGGGAGAGACAAAGGAAGAGGGAGAGAGAGGATCCTCAGTAAGACTCCACTGAGCATGGAGCCCAACAAGGGACTGAATCTGAGGACCTCGAGACCATGACCCAAGCCAAAAGCAAGACTCAACCACTTAACTGACTGAGCCACCCAGTTGCCCCAGTATTTTTAACTTTTCACAGGACTTTTCTACCTGAGTTATGTCCCAAGAATGCTTCAGGAAAATAGGGCTGGAATTTATCTGTTAACAAAGCAAGACCTGGAAGTTTAGGTGACTTAACCAAGACCATACAACCGATTTGCAACAGTGACTTCCCTTGGGGACTGATGGTGTATATAATTCTAGAAGTGTGTTATTGGGGGTGAGTCATTAAAGTGGCAGGAACAGTGAGCCAGAATTTGACAAAAATTACAGGACCTGTAATCTAGTCCTGGACCTGTAATCTAGTCCTTTCAGCCTGTAGTCCTCCTGGACCTGTATCTCTGTAATGATAGGTGGTTATTTCTCTGTTATTTTTGGCTTGAGGATTTGGCCTGAAATAGACAGAATAAAGAAGGTAAGATTTAAATCCAGAGCCCAACTTCAGGCCCCATGCTTGCAACCACTGTGCATGCTGGTAAATTCGGCATTTAACCCGGTGGTTAATGTCAGCCGGCTTTCTCCCTCCAGGTGCTGTCCAGCTACCCAATCAACAACATGGTAGGAGCACCCATCATTTACCGGATGTTGATACAACAGGATCTTTCTAGGTGATGGGGCTTTGGGGGTTGGTGTGAGCCTCTGGGTTTATTGGTCCATCCTTATGTCTCCACCACATACACATATGCTCATCTCTTAGACCGTTAAGCATGGGTTACCCTGTAAAGCCTACCTCATCATTAAAGTACCTGGAATCCTCTTGCCTAGACAGAGTTTGGTTCCAGGGAGGCTCAGGGGAAACATTTACCTCCCTTCTCTCCTTCAGTTACAAGTTCCCGCATCTACAGAACTGCTTCAGTGGTGGAGAATCCCTCCTTACAGACATTTTGGAGAACTGGAGGGCCCAGACGGGACTGGACATCCGGGAATTCTATGGCCAGACAGAAACGGTATCTGCTCCTAGGGGGAACCAATGGGCTGGTGCACCTGGTGGGCTTCAAAAGGCTTTCTGATAGTAAAAATATGAGCCACCACTTATTAGGCACTTATTCTATAAATATTTATTGAGCACCTGCTATGGAATAGGTATTGACAATTGAACAGAAACAAAGCTCTACTGTCTTGGACATTACACTCCAGTGGGATTGGGGAGCTGAGACAAATTAATAGATGTATGACATGGTAGACAGTGAGATGTTCTAGGGAGGAAAGTAAAACAAGTGAGATGGGGTGATGTGGAATGAGGGACTGGTATTTCCAATATGGTTGTCAGGAATGTCCTCTGTAATGCGGTAACATTTTAGCAGAGACCCAAATTTATCAAGTGTATCAGACTCTCTCCTAAGCTGCTCAGACAAAAGTGAGCAATGGGGAGAAGAACCCAGTAGGACCCCACCTTCCCTGCTGAGATGTCTTCTTAGAACTCTTGGGGCCCCTTGAGCACCAGGTGAATTTGCATTGCTCTGTACTCCGCTGATTTATCAAAACAACCTGAGGAATAGTTTCCCCAGCAACCTTTCCAGTGCCTCTTACCTGTGACTCTCAGTACCTCTGGTTCCCTCCACTCTTTTATCCTACACCCCTCTATGTTTAGTGGGCCCCCTGGCAGGATTCCTGGAGGGCTTATGGATGAGAGCGCTGTGATGTGGAAGAGCTTTGCAAGTGTGGATGAGGACAGTGGATGTGTTGCAAGGGCTTCTAGCCTTTCTGAAAAAGCCATGTTTAAGGAATGTTCCTTTAAACACCAGCATCTCTGTGGGATTCATTTTAGGATTCAAGCAGAGCTAGCTCTCTTATGGGAGGTAATTTAATCCCATATTGCTTTAAAGGACATTTGTGGTCCATGGTCACTTATTAAAGTATAGCTCCCTCTAAAGAGATTAAAATGTGGTTGTCAGTTCCTTTTCCCTGGGGAGGGGTCAGTCAGATTGCTTTCCAAACAATTTAGTGCAACCCCGGGATGGGAGTTCCAGTAAAGGGAAGGGAGCCAAGAACAGGGGCGGAAGGGAGCTACTAAAGAAAAGGCAACTTCAGGACTGTTTTAGAATTTGCTCTGCTTAAAGGGCAAAAATGAACTATTGGGATTTTATCAAGATCAAAAGCTTTTGCACAGCAAAGGAAACAGTTAACAAAACCAAAAGACAACTGACAGAATGGGAGAAGGTATTTGCAAACGACATATCAGATAAAGGGCTAGTGTCCAAAATCTATAAAGAACTTAGCAAACTCAACACCCAAAGAACAAAGAAGCCAATCAAGAAATGGGCAGAAGACATGAACAGACATTTCTGCAAAGAAGACATCCAGATGGCCAACAGACACATGAAAAAGTGCTCCACATCACTCGGCATCAGGGAAATACAAATCAAAACCACAATGAGATATCACCTCACACCAGTCAGAATGGCTAAAATTAACAAGTCAGGAAATGACAGATGCTGGTGAGGATGCGGAGAAAGGGGAACCCTCCTACACGGTTGGTGGGAATGCAAGCTGGCGCAACCACTCTGGAAAACAGCATGGAGGTTCCTCAAAATGTTGAAAACAGAACTACCCTATGACCCAGCAATTGCACTACTGGGTATTTATCCTAAAGATACAAACGTAGTGATTCGAAGGGGCACGTGAACCCGAATGTTTATAGCAGCAATGTCTACAATAACCAAACTATGGAAAGAACCTAGATGTCCATCAACAGATGAATGGATAAAGAAGATGTGGTATATATACACAATGGAATACTATGCAGCCATCAAAAGAAATGAAATCTTACCATTTGCGACGACGTGGATGGAACTAGAGGGTATCATGCTTAGCGAAATAAGTCAATCGGAGAAAGACAACTATCATGTGATCTCCCTGATATGAGGGAGAGAAGATGCAACATGGGGGATTAAGGGGGTAGGAAAAGAGTAAATGAAACAAGATGGGATTGGGAGGGAGACAAACCATAAGTGACTCTTAATCTCACAAAACAAACTGAGGGTTGATGGGGGGAAGGGGGTTGGGAGAGGGGGGGTGGGGTTATGGACATTGGGGAGGGTATGTGCTATGGTGAGTGCTGTGAAATGTGTAAACCTGGCGATTCACAGACCTGTACCCCTGGGGATAAAAATATATTATATGTTTAAGAAAAATAAATAAAATTTAAATTAAAAAAAAAAGAATTTGCTCTGCTTAATCTTTTTTTTTTTTTTTAATTTTTCTGTGACCATATAACTCCTCCTAAGATTTGCCAATCTGTCTACCATCTTCTGCAGGGACTCACTTGCAGAGTTTCCAAGACCATGAAAATCAAACCTGGTTACCTGGGAACTGCTATTCCCCATTATGATGTGCAGGTTTGTTAGGGGCTCTAAGGAGGGAGGGAAAAGTAGGGAATACACTAATTTTTCAGTAATTTATTTATTGCATTGTTCACTGAGGTAAAATTAAAGATATTTAAATAATATTTAAAAGGGAAGGATAAGGATGAAAAGAAGGAAGGGAGGGAGGGAGGAACGACCAAAGAAAATTAATCATATTTTTATCATCCAGAGAAAACCACTTTGAATTGCCAGAAAATTAAGTAGCTAGTCACTTCTATAAATATATACATTTTTTAAAAATAAGGGTGAATCTTGACATATCATTTTGTAAGTTTCTTTTATCTTGAATAATTTTGGGTGACTATCTTTCCAAGTCAAATAATACCTACCTACAACATGAATTTTAATGACTATGTAGTAGTAGATTGGATGGTTCCACTACTGTTTATGCCTTTTGTTGGTCAATGGATGATTTCCAAAATTTTCACTAGTAAAAACAACAAGCAAGATGTCTTAGCTAAAATTTTGCTCTTTCCCCTTATTATTTCTTTGGGCTAAATTCCAATGTATAGAATTTGTGTCTATGGTTATGTGCATAGGCATATGTATCTGAAGTGTTAACAACTTTTACTCTATTCAATGTTATTTGTAATTGCCTGCTTCTCCCTCCCCCTGGCTCTGATAATCATTTTTAAATACCTTCTTAAAAATACCTTCCTTCATTCTCATATAGTTCTGTGACATGAGCTATTATCATCCCTGTTAGACAAATGAAGGCACTGAAACATAGAACTCAGTCAGCTCAAAGTCAGCTAGTAAGGTAGCAGAGGCATACTTTGAGTTTTGATCTGTCTGATGTCCAAGTTCATGGCCCTCAAAGAAAATGGGAGGCTATTGTATTTACTGAGCTCCTACAGCCAGAAGATTCTTCCCAAGCTCATCTGGTCCTGTCTCCATAAGGGGCTTTACCTCAACCATCCCAGGCAGATGGATTAGAAGTTGAGGTGTAAAATTCTTTGCTGCCCTTGGCTTCTAGTTCTTGTTTTTGATCACCACTGGAGTAAGGGGGTCTTCCATCAGACCAGCTCAGCTCTTCTACATTGCCACTCCAGCCACCTCCTGTTATGCAGAATCTTCTTCCTATCTGCTTCCTCCTTCAGGTCTTGGACGACAAGGGCAAGATCTTGCCTCCTGGTACACAGGGAGACTTGGGCATCAGGGTAAAGCCCATCAGACCTATAGGCATCTTCTCTGGCTATGTGGTGAGGAACCCACTCCTCCCCTCTGTTCTCTGTGGGGATAGTGGAGACTCTGAGAGGGATGGCAGGGGATAAAGTTATATACCTCCCAAGAGGTAAACCATGACAGGACTTGGAACAAAGGGTGTCCAGTGTCCAATAATGGGCACTTTGCAGAGAGAAAAAACTGGGTATTCACCCCTGTCATCCTTAACCTACCCCTAAGTTTCCTTTTGAAGAATTATCTTCCTCCCATTACCCTTTTCCACCCCCCCCCCCAAAACTGTTTCAGGCCAAAAAAGTTTATTGCCCCCAAACTACATACAGCAGTACTCTCCCAAGGGCAGCCCTGCCTCTCTCCAAATATTTCTCCCCTGCTCTATGCCGTCAATGTGCTTTAGAACCATGCTAGCCATGACATTGAGATTTCACCAAATAGTTGAGAGCATCCCTGTCTTCAGACCTTGGAACGTTAGAATTAGATGATCCTTAAGTCCAACCACTTTCCTATATAGGTGAGGATGGATGGTGAAGTCAGAGATTATAAGAGCCAGCCAAGACCACTACTATTTAAAAAATGGACAGGGAAGACCTCAAACACACACCTTCTGATACCAAAATGATAAAACAATCGAATAATAAATGCCATACTAATAGTTGCTGCCATTTATTGTGTGCTTACTACAAAGTAATGCCCTAGAGCAGAGGTGGATAAATGCCTCAGTATTATCCCTTGCACGGGACCCTGGGGAGCAGGTCAGAGACACTGGGGACAATTAATTGGAATAAAGGGGTAAGTTCCAGGTCCATCTGAGGGCTCAGGTTGGCAGGCCCGGTCAAGATCATCACATGTAGTTATTCATGCCAGCCCTGGGGCAGAGGATTTCAGCTTTGCAGTTACAGTGATTATGACTTACTATGGTCTCTAGGACAATCATGAGAAGACAGCAGCCAACATTCGAGGGGATTTTTGGATCCTTGGAGATCGGGCAGTCAAGGATCAAGATGGCTATTTCCAGTACCTGGGGCGGGGAGATGAAATCATTAACTCCAGCGGGTGAGCTTGGTTTCTGGGCTGGGAAGGGAAAACTGGATCTTTATTCTGGCTGGCTCTGAACTTCTGGGCTGGCCTAGAGGCTGCGTGCCCAGCGTTCTCTGAAAGACAGGCTCTTCTGCAGGTACCGGATTGGGCCCTCAGAGGTTGAGAATGCACTGATGGAGCATCCTGCTGTTGTTGAGACGGCTGTAGTCAGCAGCCCTGACCCTGTCCGAGGAGAGGTGAAGTGGGAGCAGCAGCCTGGAGTTGCAAGGGTGGGAGGTGAGGGTGTGCAGATTTTGGAAACAAGGGCACAGTGCATGGTAGTTAAGATCATGGAATCTGGAGGCTGGAGAGCCCTGCCGCTTACCAGCAGTGTGATCTTGGACAAGAATTGAACATGTTAATATTTGTAAAGTTCTTTCAACAAGGCCTGGCACATAGCAAAAACCATATGTGGTCTATTATTATGAGGCTACAGGGATTCCATTCTGCTGGTTGGCATTTGAATCAGAATTTGATTCCTGACCAGAAGAGAGGAAGAATTAGAGCCAAGAGGTAGAGCCCCTGAGCCATGGGCTTTACAATGAGAACATAAGGAAGAAGAAAGACCCCTTTAATGCTATGGTTATAGAAACAGGCCCAGATGGAGTCTAGCAGAACTTGGTATATGTATAGAGAAAGGTAAGGTACAGAGGTGTGGGTCGGTGTCCAAGTACATTTCAACAGGGTACACGTTGAATAAATTCCTATCTCTGGCAGGTATTGGCCATATCAGCCATGGAAATCACAGAAGCCACTAGGGAAGGGAGGCCCAAAGGGGATCCCCTACCAAAAATCCCTCTGTGCCAAGCACTGGGCTAAGGCTTGCTATATATGATTTCATTTAATTTCCCATGAATTAAGTATGATAATTGGATCACCATTTTATAGATGTACAAATTGCAGTTTGGAGTGGTTAAAAAAATCATTTAGGTTTATGGTCCCCAGTCTTCATTTTTTGCTCTTGTCTTATAAGGAGTCTCTCTCTAACACTGATATGAGATGAGGGTGGTTTCAATTTACAGTCCTACCTGCCCATCCAGTTAGCCACTTGAGAGAGAGCTGGAAACTTAGCCATTGTTATCCCTACTTTCTCCCTTTCTCTCACCCAGGTATCTGGAGGTACATTTGAGGGTATATAAAGGGGGTGCTATGTTGGAAACCTTAGCCCTACTTCTGCATTATTCCAGGAGACAACACTCCGATGCCTTCTCTCTTGGCCCTCATCTTTGTTGCAGGTGATAAAGGCGTTTGTGGTCCTGGCCCCACAGTTTCTGTCCCATGACTCCGACCAGCTCACCAAGGAGCTGCAGCAGCACGTGAAGTCAGTAACAGCCCCATACAAGTACCCAAGGAAGGTGAGGTCTCTGAGCTCCCTTGCTCCCCCAACTTGAGGAAGGAGAGAGATATCTCTTCTTGTATTTCTCTTCTTCAGGCTCTGGATGAGGCCTGTAATTCCAAAGTTATGCCTGATTATGACCATCTAGAAGCTGTCTGGAGGCTTGAATATTTGCCTCAGCCTTTAGGTGACTTTGAATTGAAAGTTGGATGCTCCCATGGGAATAAGTTCTGGTCAATACCTCACCAAATTCCTACTCTCTGCACTGGGATCTCGCTATTTATCCAGGATTCTTTCAGTTGTTAGCAACAGAAAGGAAGGCACATATTGCATGGAGTACTGGGTGTGGTGTATAAACAATGAATCTTGGAAACTGAAAAAATAAAATTAAATTTAAAAAAAAAATTAGGGGCGCCTGGGTGGCTCAGTGGGTTAAAGCCTCTGCCTTCAGCTCAGATCATGATCTCAGGGTCCTGGGATCGAGCCCCGCATCGGGCTCTCTGCTTGGCGGGGAGCCTGCTTCTTTCCCTCTCTGCCTGCCTCTCTGCCCACTTGTGATCTCTGTCTGTCAAATAAATAAAATCTTGAAAAAAAAAAAAAAGAAATTGAACACAAACTTTATTGCTCACACAACTGTCCAGGGGAAGGGTTTAGCTTTAGTTGTGACTGGTACCAGGCATTCAAATGATGTGGTCAGTGATACTTCTTTCACCCTTTGACTCTCTTTCTTTCTGTATTGGCTTCATTTGTTAAAATGCTCCCCCTTTATAATGGCCAACAGCAGGTCCAAACACAGGTCTTTAGCAATTTTGCTAATCATAGTAATAAAGCAACATTTTTCCCCCAAAGGCACCAGCAGAAGTCTTCAGGTTGATTCTCATTGAACCACTTTAGGTCAGGAGCCCATCATTAAATAATCCCTAGAACCAGGGTGATGGAACACTCTGGCCACTTCTGGGTCATGTGATCACCTCTGAAGCAAGTGTAGGAAAGATGGAGCAAAGACTGCCCTGCCCCTATGATCTGGACTGAGGGAGAGAGGGGTGGCTTCCCACAGGAAAGTGGAAGTGCTCTTACCAGAAAAGGCAAAAAGCATAGAGTCCACTCTATCTGTTTTCGCTCTGGGGCAGGGAACTAAGGCATGGAGGTTGACCCTGAAGGGGGACCCAGTTTTTGGAAGTGGGTCCAAGATAAGAACTTGTCCCAGAGAAAAGAAAAAGTGTATATATTTTTGAGTCTTGGGTAGAGAAGAGAGCAACTATGTTAAGCTTAAAGCTACTGAGATGTTTATAGAACCCAGAAGTTCACTAATGCTTTGTCAGCGCAGGCTGATTGTCATAGATGGATTTTCTGAGAAACAGACTCTGGGCAGGAGATAAACATAAAAGAGGTTTATTAGTGAGTGCTTTGGGATCAACACCTGGGGAAAGAAATAGAAGGGAAGGGGAGAGAAGGGAGCAGGACTGGGCAGAAGGTGAAGGTGCACTCTGATGTAGCCTTACTGGGGGGCCTCAGCCAACCCCATGGGGACTTCTGCAGCTAGAACAACCTTTCAGAGTTGCCTGAGCTATGGGCAAGGTTGGGAGGGTGCTTTATAGCCCCATGCAGATCAGGCCTGGATGCAGGCTGTGCTGGGATGGGGCTGTGGCCCGGGGAAGGGAATCTGTCCTTGGCTGCAGCAGTAGGGGCTGGGAGCGTTAAATCATTCTTGCAGGGGTCTCTGAGCAGCCCATCAAAGAGTCCACCACACAGACTTTCAGCCACAAACTCACAGTGAGGCAGTCAGTATAGTACAGTCTCTGGAATTAGACAGCTGCATTAAAAATTCATCTCCATCACTTAACAATCTCTTTGTGCCTCAGTTTCCTTATCTGTGAAATGGGAATAATGGTGTTACCCCTTTCCAGGTTTTTAAAAAGAAGAGTTAATATTTGTAAGACTTAAGGTACTCAGAAGACTAGCACATAATAAGCATTTTAAAAGGAAACTAGAAATCTAATCAACCCCAAAATACAATGAATTTTGAATTGTAACTTAGTATTTCGGAGTATCCAATGGATCCACAATATAACATTATATTATTCAGTAGATGTCTCTTTTTAAATGTCTCTCCTCTGGGGCGTCTGGGTGGCTCAGTAGGTTAAAGCCTCTGCCTTCGGCTCAGGTTATGATCTCAGGGTCCTGGAATCGAGCCCGCACATTGGGCTCTCTGCTCAGTGGGGGGCCTGCCTCCCCCCACCCCCCGCCTGCCTCTCTGCCTACTTGCGATCTCTGTCTGTTGAATAAATAAATAAGAATCTTTCAAAAAAAAAAAGTCTCTCCTCTAGAATGCTTTGGGCAGCATTATTTCTATCTCTTCCCTCCTTACTGAGACCAAACCCTTCCCAGATCTCCCCTGCTGGCTTCTCTTTACCCTCTATCCCTACCCTTACTCTCTGTCTACTCAGTTCTGCCTTGTAGTATGAAGGATCCAGAGACCACTGGGAATGAATGGGTGTAGCTGTGTTGAAATAAAACTTACTTTACAAACACAGAAGAAGGGCTGGATTTTGCCCTCAGATTACAGTTTGCCAACCCCTGCTCCATCCCATTGTGATTTTTAATAAACCCCTTCCTCAACAAGTTCAGTCTTGCCTGTGGAAGACCCCCACATCACCTTTTAAGAAAATACCTTTTTCCATATTGGTGTCAGTATCCCAGTTTTTCTTATTTCTATCAAACCCACGACCATCTGACTCCTAGATCAATGCCCTGGCAAGCTGGGCTTTGTAACAGGAAGTAAATTATCTTCATTGTCCATAAGTTAGGATTCAGGAATATTAGAGATGGAGGAGTCCTCGACATCAAATATTTTTTCCCGCAGATAATGAAAAATGAAATTGGAGAGATTTTATGATTTTGCCAACTGGAAATGACTGAGCTGGAATTGAAAGTCAGGTTTCCTAACTCTTAAATATTTACTGTCTATAGTCCAGGTTAATCACAGCCACTGTTTTTGAGTGTTTACCTATTTAGTGTTTACCCATCAAGAACTCAGTCTGCATAATTTCATTTTATCTTCAAATAACCCAGCAGAGTTGTTGCTGCCCTCCAGTTTACCCAGTGTGGAAATTCTTTGAAAAGCCAAGTGACTTGTCCAAAGCCAGACAGGTAGTAGAGGAGAGATGGCAGTCCAGGGAGTCTGATGTGAAAGCTCAGGTGACTGAGGACTGTGTCATATCGTGTTCGCTGTGCTGCTTCTCCCCTGTCCTAGAGTACATCAGGCACCATTGAGTAGACCTTTATGTCCCATTCCAGCCATCTCTTCTTGCCTTGTCTCAGAGCACTTTCCAGAGCTTCTTATTGCCTAAGGCCTGCCCTTGGAGTGTTCCAGGCTCAGTCCTAACTTACCTGGAACCTCCAGCCTTAACAGCTTTTTTCACCCTATAGCAGTTCCTCTGAAAAACCCATCCCCACTGAGGTCACAGATGGCCCACCCTGGACTAACTTTCCCAACAGGTGGAGTTTGTCTCGGACCTGCCCAAGACTGTCACAGGGAAAATCCAGCGGAAGATTCTTCGAGACAAGGAGTGGAAGACATCTAGGCAAGCTGGGCCCCAGTGAGACCTGTATGGGCATCCTTTTGGGTGCTGTACTTCTACTTACTTTCATTTCCCTTTGGGCCTTCTTCCTTCCTCTAGGGATATGAGATTCCCCATGACAATATAACAGATTTCTCTCTTTCCCTGGTTATTAGCATAAAATTTTGCCATATTAGATTTTGAAAGAAGAAAGTGAAGGAATGAAAGAGTGGAAAGGAAAGGGGAAGAGAAAAGAAAGGAAAATTAGAGTAAGAATGAAACAGTGAAAGCCGTTAGGAAAGAAAAGGAGGGAGGCAGGAAGGTGGGATGGAGGGATGAGGGAAAGAGAATTGGAGGAAGGGAGAGAAAGAGAAGAAGGAAAGGAGGGAGGGAGGGTGGAAATAAAAACTCAATAAAAATAGTAAGAGTGATAAAAATGATGGAAGATGGGAGAAGAGAGAGCAACTAATGATTAGTCCTGCAGATAGAAAGACAGTGGCAGAGTCCAGCAGAACCCTGGATCTTAGGAAGGAAATGAAGGGTCAAATCACTTCATCTCACCCTGGACAAGCCTCCATACAAACAGGCTCGTGCACATGGATAGAACATTGGAGCCCTCTCCAAGTCACCCCAAACCTCAGGACAGTCATGACCAGAGGAGGGAAATCTCCATTTATTGAGCACTTGCCATATACCAGACACTGTCCTAGGCATTTTATAAATATTATCGTGTTTCACCTCTGTGTGGCATCTACAAACCTTGGAACATAGGTGTAAGAACAGTGTAGGCACCTCAAAGAAAGTGTCCCTTCCCCATGGCTCATGTTTGTGGTAGTATCTCCTCTTCCTATAATCAAGTAATAAAATTATTTTACAATCAAGACCATAGGGGTTGTCTTTGGAGAAAGTAAAGTGGGGGGACAGGGAAGGAAGACATCGAATGATGAACCACAGACTCCATTCCTGGGGCCTCTGGGGGCATCATTTCCAACCAAGGGATGGAGGATGAATCTTCCTAGCAGGTTCAAGTAAGCTGGAGAAGAAAGCAAAGAACCTCTGAGGGTCTAAGGCTCTTCTCTGTCAGAATACTTAGTAATAATAGCAATAACAGTAATAAGAATATCAAGCACTTATCAAGCTCTTGCCAAGTGTCAGGCACTATGCCAAACAAATACATATACTGATTAATGTTCGCAGTCACCCCTTGATTCAGGTACTCTTACTTTCCCCATTTTCCAGAGAAGAAAACAAAGACTTGGAGAGATTAAGTGATATACCCCAAAGCCTTGTAGCTGATAAATGACAGCTACAGGTTCAAACCTAGACCCATTTGCGTACAACACCTATGCATCCTTTCCTCTTGCTTGCCTTCTCTTCCAGCCCCTGACAAAACACTTCTCTTGCGGTCATCTTAAAATACCCACTAGGCACATGATCTGATGAGCACTGGATGTTATACTCAACTAGTGAATCATTGAACACTACATCAAAAACTAGTGATGTACTATACTTATACTAATGTTGGCTAATTGAATGTAATTTTAAAAAATGAGAAAATCTACTAGAATGTGTACATCCTGTGATATACTCCTGGAATCCATTGGGTGACACCAGAGTTTTATGTTTGGCCTAGTAGAGAGAGAGAGTCTGCTAATCAAATAGCAAAACTTCGTCTTTCTCAGTCTGGATTTATCTACGTTTAAGGGAGCATCATTTAACTGACAGCTTCCAAAAATTTAAAATCTAGCAGATTGTTCATTTTGACACTTTCACTGCTATCTTCATCATTTTATATCATGTCCCCTTCCTCCGTGCCTAACTCTTAGGCTCAGGAATGATTGATGATGGGAACTTGGACCTTTAGGGGAAATGTATGACCCATGCAAAATATACTGTTTGTCTCTCCTCCCTCCACTCCATCCCCTTCTCCAGACAGCTTGTATAAAGGAATCATAATATTTAGCCAGTCCTTTTCACAAAGATTGGCTTCCTGTGACTACAATGAAATCACTGAATATGGTCTTTTTCAGGATGAGCTAAAGATAGACCACCTCATCCTTCTTGTGCTTATCTAGCAAAAGCCTGTACTCTACCCCAGTAACCCTGAAAACCAAGAAGTAAGGGTTACCAAGTCCCATTGGGTCAAGTATGGGATGTGTTTAACTTCCCTAGGCGATCATTAGCTCTGGGGGGAATTCCCAAACTAAACAATTTGTGTGTGTGTGTGTGTGTTGATGGCGTAAGTTGTCCTAGGCTTGTTGCCACTATTTGTAGATAGAAGGAGGAGCTTAGCCTGGGAAGATATACTCAGTATTATTTCAACATCAGGTTCAAGTTCTGAATTGACAAAGGGAGGATTATTTTAACACATGCGTAAATGGTTTGGGCTTCATCTGGAGGGTAATGAACTTAGGCAACAATGCATTTCTAAATGATTGTGTTGGTAGGTGAAGGGTGAATACATTAGAGGTGATGTTTACTTGTTTATGTAATAATCTTTATACCCAATGTGGGGCTTGAACTTTTCCCCCCAAGATCGAGTGTCACATGCTCTTCTGACTGAGCCAGCCAGGTGCCCCAAATTTGAGAATTCCTAGCAGAAGAAATTCTATTTCTTGGAACTTGGTGATTTAGTGACTAAATAAGTCAGGTGGGGTAAGGGAAAAGAGGCACTTAAAGACGATGTCTAGGGTTTTGATTAGTTACACTGGGTAGGTAATTATAACACTTTCTGAGAGAAACAGGTTTAAGGTGGGAATATTGAATTCAGTTGTGGTCATGTTAATATAGGCCATAACAAGGCTGTTATATATTTAGTGATCAGTTGGATATTTAAGTTTGGATTTGGGAGAGGTCATGATTTTAAATGTGGTTTAGGAAATTATCCAGAGAAAGAGAATGAGATAGATAGAAAGTTCATAGGGAACGAGAGGAACTATTCACTGAGAATAGGTCCTTGGGGGACAGACAAGGATATCTAAAGAGAAGAAAGAGGGAGAGGATCCTGTGGACAATATTGAGAGAGAAGAATCAAAAAAGGCAAAGTGTGATAACAGAAAGAAGAGAGCAATTAAAGAGTTCATTGATATTGCCCAGAATGGCCAAGAGTCAGAACTGGAAAGGATTCATTCATCTGGAAGCAAGAATATTAGAAAACTTATTTCCAGAAAACAACAACAACAACCACCAACAAATCAACTGTTTCAATGAGTAATTAAGGGGAAAAAATTAGCTATGGGTTATGACAGAAAAGATGGTAACAACTAATGTATTCAACTATGTCCAATAAACACTAATTGGAAGGGGAAGGAACAAGAAAAGATATATAAGCGAGGAAGCAACTTTTGGAGGAGGAAAGACTTGAACAAATATGGTGAACATTGCTTTTCTCCTGTTCTTATGGCCTGAATTTTGTCCCCCAAATTTCGTATGTTGAAACCCTAACCCCCAGTACCTCAGAATGTGACTATACTTGGAAATAAGTTGTTTAAAGAGGCAATTAAGTTAAAATGAGGTTATTAGAATGGGCCTTCATCCAACCTGGCTGGCATGCTTAAAAGAAGAGCAGTTTAGGACCCACAGAAAGACACCAGGGGTGCATTGCACAGATGGATGACCATGTGAAAAGGTGGCAAGAGGAAGTCAACCCTGCCAGCACCATGATCTTGAACTTCCAGCCTCCAGAACTGTGAGGAAATAAGTGTCTGTTTAGAGCACCCAGTGTGCAGTGTTTTGTTACAGCAGCCCTAGCAGTCTAATACACCCACTCAGTGGCCTCACCACAATCACCTCTACCCTGCCTTGTTCCTTGCTAAAGGAACCCTGATTTTGTCCAGAGCCAGAGCTCACCCTTCCCATTTTTCTTCCATTAAGTCAATTAGAAAGTCTCAGTTTGTGACTTCTATGTCCTCTGCTCCTGTGAGGTAGATTTTTTTTTTTTTCCAGCAAATACTTGCTCTCTACTCACCCCCTCCCCCATACACACTCTCCTGCGGAGAGGAATATGATTCTCCGCTCCGTGCTGTTGAGCATGGTCTTTGGCTTATTTTGGCCAATAGAATGTTAACAGAGATGATGCAAGCAGAAATTTTAAATGATAAAAAAAATGTACTTACAGGTTTTGGCTTGATTTTGGGTGCTTCTGCTGTCCACTATGAAAAGAGCCACTAGTCTGAGATTTATGAGAGAGAAATGTGTGTTAAATAAATGTGTGCCACTCTTTGTTATGCATTATTCTCACAGCAATAAACAACTGATCAAATCTTAATTTCCTTTTTTTTTTTTTTAAACAACAGAGAACAAGACTGGTCTCATGTATTTGACAGTGAACTCTATTGGAAATGGGATTTAATAACAGCAACATTTTTTGCTTTCACTGTATTCATTTTTAGTTTCTTCCCTGTGGCAAGTAAAATAATTGCTTAATTAGGGATGCCTAGGAGGCTCAATCAGTTAAGCGTCTTCCTTCTGCTCAGGTCATGATCCCAGGGTCCTGGGATCACGTCCCACATCAGGCTTCTTGCTGAACAGGGAGCCTGCTTCTCCCTCTGCCTGCCGCTCCTCCTGCTTGCTCAGTCAGTCTCTCTCTCTCTCTGTGACAAATAAATAAAAATCTTTTAAAAGTAATAATTGAGTAATTATAGTGGTGGTACAGAGCTTCATTTAGACTGCTATGGATTTGTTTGTGGTTTTATTTAATATTTTAATAAGGAAATTGATGTAAAGGAGAATATTGAATAAATAAGAATAGAGGTAATTGTGCATGGTTATATCAAAAAGGAAGAAAGGAAGGAAGGAAATGAGGGAGAGGGGGAGGGAGGGAGAGAGAGCAATGAAGAAAGGGGGAAGGGAGAAAGAAGAAGGAAAGAGAAGAAATGAAGGTGAGGTATGGCTGACTAAGTCTGAGAAACAGTAAGAATGGAGCAAGGTTGCAAAAGAAGAAGGAAGGAATGGAACCTGTATTCCTTAAGAAATTAAAAATAGAGCTACCCTATGACCCTGCAATTACACTACTGGGTATTTACACCAAAGGTACAGATATAG